CGGGGTCTCTTCCCAGTTGGACGTGCCTGGAAAACCTCCAGTGGGAGGCGTCCAGGAGGCATCCTAATTAGATGCCCGAACCACCTCAGCTGACTCCTTTCGACGCGAAGGAATAGCGGCTCGACTCCAAGCTCCCTCCTGATGACCGAGCTCCTTACCCTATCTCTAAGGCTGAGCCCGGCCACCCTACGGAGGAAGCTCATTTCGGCCGCTTGTAACCGTGACCTTGTCCTTTCGGTCACGACCCAGAGTTCGTGACCATAGGTGAGGGTAGGAACGTAGACCGAGTGGTAAATTGAGAGCTTTGCCTTCCGGCTCAGCTCCCTCTTCACCAAGACGGTCCGGTGCAGCGCCTGCTTTACTGCTGCAGCCGCACCGATCCGTCTGTCGATCTCCCGCTCCATCTTACCCTCACTCGTGAACAAGACCCCGAGATACTTGAACTCCTTCGCTTGAGGTAGGCACTCCGTCCCCACCTGGAGGGAGCAATCCACCGGTTTCCGGCAGAGCACCATGGCCTCAGATTTGGGGGTGCTAACTCTCATCCCCGCCGCTTCACACTCGGCTGCAAACCGCCCCAGTGAATGCTGGAGGTCACAATCCGAGGAGGCTAACAGGACCACATCATCTGCAAACAGCAGAGAGGCGATCCCGAGACCCCCGAACCTGACGTTCTCCACCCCCAGGCTGCGCCTAGATATCCTGTCCTTGAAAGTCACGAACAGGACCGGAGACAAATGGCAGCCCTGGCGGAGGCCAACACCCACCGGGAACGTGTCTGACTTATTGCCGAGAACACCAACACCACCTGTTATCGTGCATTAAGTGACAGCTCAGCTGTGCTTAATCCCGGTGAACCCTTCACAGTCAGCACTGCCTTTCTCACAGGCATCACTGGAGAGGGTATGCCATGCATATTTGAAGACAGTTATTTATATTTAGAGATGCCCTTAGATGTTGGCAGTGGCTGTACATCCACGTGCAGCTTGTTTACTGCTCATCATATGCTTCTTTTATGTTTTGCCGACTGCATTGCGCTAGAAACCCTATGCACATTACACTGCAAGGATTTCCTGAGTTCATCCGCTGAAATACACAGTGCACAATGTTGTTGTGCAAAGTAGTGGACTAATATACATATTTCTAGAATTTTGAAGAAATGCAAGTGGCCTTTATACAACACATTTTCCTGACATGCACTGTACAATTGAATTCCCATTGCTGTGTTTTTGTTGTGAAAGGGAAAATCTTTTGCCCTTTTCACCTGAGTTAATATAAATTCTTCTTCTTCTTCTGTCTGTCCTTTTCTCCTCTCTACCATAGGCCTGGGTTGTGGTCTGGTCTACGCAGCCACGTTGACAATCACCTGTCAATATTTTGACAAGAGACGTGGCCTTGCCCTCGGCATTGTCACCACAGGTATTGCCGCACTCCCCCTCTGCCCTGCGCTCACTTGGTGCACACCCGTTCTTCATGCTCACTGCTTACATGTATGAGCTGTTGGGAGCCTTTGGATGCTAAGGTAAACACCTGTAGTGTAGCAAAGGCAGAGTCTTCTCTTAGGTAGGTAAGTGGACTGGTGACCAGTGACTAGATCTGTTTTGGGAGGTTTATTAGTAGCACCCAAAGTTTATCTTTAAAGTTTACTGAACTACTGAGCTATCTCAAAGTCTGGATATTAGTCATTTAACATCTTATGAAAATCTTGTTCCTGCTGACCTCCAATAGTTTAACCTTACTGTCGTGATGTAGAGGTGTACTCAAGGGTGTGTCAGTACACTCTGACATCATTGTTGGGTTTGGTCAGAGGTGAAACAGACTTCAAACTTTCAACCAGATGTTTGATTTCCATCCCAGTGGAAGGTTAGTCTTTAACATTATTAAAGCCACCATGTAGAATCGGAACATTTCTGGCTTTGGCGCCTCCCAGTATAAAAAAATATGGATACAACCCGTGAACACAGAGATGGTTTTTAAAACCATGTTTTTTAATCAAGATGGTCAAAAAGACTCATGCCATCAGCAGAATTTAAAAGGTGCCGTACTCTTCAGAATATGGCTTTAATTTGTATTGATTGATCTGTCCTTTTCTTACAAAAACTGAAGTTTTGTCTACCTCTGTTCCCCCAGGCACAAGTGTTGGAGCGTTCATCTATGCCTCCGCTCAGAACGAGCTGATCGTGTTGTTCGGCCTGGATGGCTGCCTGCTAATCATCGGAGCGGTAGCACTAAACCTCATGGTCTGCGCGGGCTTCATGAGGCCCCTTAACATGCCAGGGTACTACCTCAAACAGAAGGCCGCCCTGGAACGCAACACAGAGGAGCAGCTTTTCGAGAAGCCCCCGTTGGATGACCTGAAGATCACTGCAGGTTCCACCTCAACCACTACAGAGAAAACTCTCACGGTGAAAGAGTTGCTCATCACCGTTGATTCCAAAGACTTGGCCGTTCAGACAGAGAAGAAGAAAGGGGGCCTCCTGGCTGGGTTGACCATCATGAAAGTCATCAAGAAGAAGCAACAAGCTTACTATAAGTACATGCACTCCATGTACGAGATCATGCAGGACCAAGCCATGGTGTCCTTCTGTATTGCCATCTTCCTGTTCAGCCTGGGGGCGTTCCCTCCTGTGCTCTTTATAGAGGACGTGGCTCAGACTCAAGGACTCATTGAAGAAGTTAGTGTCATTCCTCTGGTATCAATAGGGGCCATTGCCACTTGTGTGGGTAAACTAGCGCTGGGTACGCTGGTGGACATCCGGTGGATTAACGGCATGTATCTGTATGGCTTCACAATGTTTGCTGGAGGTCTGGCACTGCTCTGTATCCCTAGCACTAAAAGTTATCTGGGACTGCAGATCCTGTCTGTCGTCCTGGGTTTCTTCTCTGGAAACTGGTCTCTCACCTCCTACATCACCACTAAGATTGTCGGCTTGGACAGACTGACACAAGCCCACGGCATCCTCATGTTCTTCGGGGGATTTGGGATCATGCTCGGACCCCCTGTTGTCGGTAAGAGAGCTGTATCTTGCTACACCAGCAATTATTGGTTAGATACAAGTGGTACAGATATTATTTTTTTGTGCATGGATAAACTCTTGTCGTAAGGCCATGTTGTCAGAGACATTTCAAAAGTCAGAATGTTAAATCAGGCAGGCAGAGCAAAGAAAAGGGCATTCAATAAGGAACCAGCTTGTCATTATTTAGCTGACTGGTGTATATGTCAGGAATTCCTGCTGACTCTGCTCACACTGTTTCTCTCATCTGTTTCCAGGGTGGTTCTTTGACTGGACACAGTCATATGACTTGGCTTTCTACTTTAGTGGGGGCTGTGTGGAGCTGGGAGCATTAATTTTATTTCTGCTCAACCTTCCCTGCTGGAACAGGAAGCACTCGGAGAACGACAGACCGGATGTCCATTACACCAGCAACTGTGAAAAAGTTGCCTCTGTAGCCTGAATATAAGCACCTTTCAGAAGGACATAAATCCTTTCCCTTACTGCCCAGCAACTGTCCTCTGATAAACTACACACAAAAACCTTCTGGGAGGAATTTTCTGTCTTTGACTTTACAGGAGTTTCCTCCTTGCTTTTGCTGCCAGGTTCTAATATACCAAAATACTTGCCAGAGGTTTTGAAATACAGGCCTTTCTTCTGTACTTCGCCTGCATTTCTCAGGTTCAAACCATATACTGCAGATCTTTTTAAAGGTTTGCCTCTGATGCCTGTGTTGATTTTTTTATTTTTATTATTGCCTCATTTTACGAGGCCAACTGAACAATATTGTTCAACTCCCAAATTCAATATTGTGTTTGTGTAAACACAGGTTTTCACTTTACTGTAGCTTTGAAAAAAAGACATGGTTCCATTCATAATACCTGGGAGAAAAACATTGGGTGTTACTTTAACAGAATAACAACATTAGAAACCACTCTGCAAATGCACAACAATCTCCCAGGAATCTTACTGGAACAGAAAATACAGGGATTGGAACGAGGGAGGGGGGCGCTTTTTTGGTAATTGTTATTATAGCAACACATTTCTATTTGGTATTTTTTTTTTATTGTATATCTTAATTACACAACCATGTATCTTTCCAAAGCATAAATTACAGTCAATGCCTGTCAACACATAATGCCTGTTGGAACAATACAAAAGCCTTGCTTTATAGATCATTTTTGAGTTCCACATACCTCCTGTGTCTACATCAGGTAGAGACTTTTTGAATAAGTTATGCTCATTCAAAAATATGTAAAAACACAGAAGAGATTCTACTGTGTTTTGAACCTTAACAGCATGTTGATTATCTTTGTGGCATGATCATCATGACCTCTGCTAGCATTGATTTTGACCAGGCTGGTCCTTTTCCATCACTGTTGTGTGTGGTATATATTTATGTTTACGTCGTGTGTGTATGTGTCTGCACACGCATGTTCGCATATGTGCACAGGATTGTGCGTGTGCATTGTTTGATAAACTTTTGTGTTAGCACTAGTTTGTAAAATCCTATGTGCTGGTGACTTATATATGCACAAAACCGGCCATATAGCTGTAATAAACTGTTTTTGTTTAAGTTGTAAGTTGATTATTGTGATCCTAATTGTAATAAATACATTGCAATAGGCTTTTAGAATCACTTGAATGTTGTTAAAGACACCAATACAAATGTATTTTTTTTGATAGTTCTAGTTTCAGGCATAAGGGTACATCTGGGACAATAGCGTTTGCTTATTGTGTTTGAAGAGGGGATTGACAAGGTGCAGAGGAGGTGCAATTAGTACTGACCTAGAAGAGACAGCATGTTTGGCTGTCACCTCTTAGCCACTCGGTATTTTGTATGCCAGTATTACACTATTTATGTATGTTATTGTTTTATTATATCAGTTTATTTAAAAAAAAAGTGCCAATAAAAGATATTTGGATTAATGATAGTGAGTGTCAAGGTTTGTGACGTATTTATCATGGAGTCTGGACCACAACCTTGCGGCCATATTTGTGAGCTGCAAACGACCGCACTGTTGGAGAAGAAGCTCCCATGAAAATATAAAAAATAAAACATGTCTGCTTTCCCTTCTCCTGGCAACCCCAGGACGAGTCACCATGGTTACACGGGTGTCACGTGACTGGCAACGTAAACACGAGCGGTGGTGAAGCAAGCTATCCGTACATCTAGCTAGCCGTACTCCATCACAACAGCGTTTATTTACACATACTGTGAGCGCAACGTTGGGATGTAAGGGCGATGGCAGTGATTATTCGTCGTGCGTCGGAATTTCCGAGCGTTTCTCGGAGTGGTTCATCATGTCGAGGAGGGGAAAATACTTCTACAATTGGAGAGAAATGGAGAGTTTTCCTGTGAGCTGAAAAAATGGGAGCAAGCGCTTCAGTGTCGCTCTGTGTAAGTTTAACTGCTAAGTTATTTTGTTACATTCCTCGGTGTTTTAGAGTCCATTGCCCAACCGATTTCGCCTTGTTTGGGGCAGCTAATGGGGTTAAAGACAGCTAACCTGACGCTAACTGTTGCTGTGACATGGACATCTGCAGCATCTGGTGTCTGTGACTTTGACTTGACAAGCGAGTTGAATGTACATTTACACGTTTTATCGAGGAAACGTAGTGTATCATTTTATTGTTAATCAAGTAATTATTTCTCACACACACACACACTTCTCGGTCTACTGATTATGTTTTGCAACACTCACTGCCCACACACACACACACACACACACACACACGCACGCACACACCACACAACACTGATCAAGTCATGAAGTGGATACTTTTACATCTCATATGTGTTTGGGATTTATCCTTTTTTTGAAACGTCTCTGTCCATCCAGGAATGTGACTATTGTAAGTAAATGATGGGACAATATGCTTTGTGTATGAGTCATCTGTTGCATGCCCTCTTCTTTTTATGCAGAGTGACCCGTCCTCAGTGAGAATCCTGAGGCCAAGTGCTAAGGTCAGTCCAGAGCCGATTGCTCCCACCCTGGTTTCAGAGCCTGAACTGTCCGCCAGGTGTGTGTTTGGTGTTGCCTTTGAAACACTGAGAGAGCGAGGGCAGATGGTTTGTGGAATACCCCTTGTGCTCAGAGACATGGTGGAGTTCCTCCATACGAAGGGTAATTGAGGCACATCCTTGCTACTCTTGTTCTGTTACTCCTCTGCTCCTCTTTCATTCACTTTTATCACATCCCTGTTTCCTTCTCCTATCTTTATCTTGCTCTCTCAATGCAAAACAATACTCAAACGTGATGTGTATGTGTGTAATGATGTCTTGTTTTATTATTACAGGAATGCACCACAGAGGTCTGTTCCGCCTGTGTGGGTCGGTGGTGCGGACCACGAAGCTGAGGCAGAGATGGGACCGTGGAGAAAAGGTGGACTTGGAGCATGAGGAAGATGTCTCCACTGTGGCCTCGCTCCTCAAGCTCTTCCTTCGGGAAATGCCCACCGCCATAGTTCCCGAACCCCAGCGCGAACAGCTGGTTCTGAGCCTCACAGGTACTAGGAGAGCATGTTCGACTGGCATTATTGGGTTAATCAGGAGGATACCACAGCAAGTCAGACATAAGATACATTTGTTTGTTGTTTTGGGTTTGGTGAGTTCTGCTGTTGCAACGTCGGCACATGTTCAGGGTTAAGCGATACAAGTTACATCTAAAAAGAACAACATGATGAATTGCCACAACATTTGTAAGTGTCACTTATCTCAAGAGACTGAATCGCTCAAAGATTCAGCATCAATATTCAATTTGTTTTGACATTTTAATCAAAGTCTGTCTGAGGACGCATGGGCTGGTTGTAGCAGCGGTGATCTGCACTCTGCTGAGTCAGCCTTTGTAGTTTTAATTGGGTTGAGGTTGATCCAGGAAAAGAGAACTGAGGAGCCGTGTGGTTAGAAATCCAAGACACTTTGTGATGCTGAATGTACATTATATAATTATTAGTAATAAAATTGGATTCTTGTACTGCTATTAATTATAAGTGAGATGTCCAGCAATTAGTCTCCTTGCTCTACAGTCATTTAAATGAATGAATGTATTAAGCTGCTTATATTCTTTAATTTCATGTACTGTTTAAGGCTTATAAGAGTGTGTTAACATACTGTGTAATATGAATCTGAGGCTGGTTACAGTGTGTATTCATAGATACCAAAGACTCATGATTTAAAGTGCATTTTAATGAATGCTTCTGTGATGTTTCTGCTTATTTCTAGGATATGCAGATGAGGCAGAGATGAACCGGTCTCTGAGAGAAAACCTTTGCCATCTCCCTGATGGCAACCTCATTATTTTGTCTTACCTCATCCACTTCCTATCCAGAGTGGCCGCTCACAGCCAATCAAATCACATGCCTGTGAAAAGTCTGGCAACCGTCTTTGGGCCTTGCATATTTCAGTAAGTTGCTGGTGTTGGTGCCACATTTAAATCCTCTCCAGACCTGTGCTGGGACACCAGATTCCTGCCATCAAATCAGCACAGCCTGAGTAGACTTAACTCACATTAAGCTTCAGCTGACAGTTGGTTTACTGGATTTTAAGACAGTAAGTTTTTAGTTAGTTTTGAAGACGTGTAGCTGGATTTCTCTAAAAGTACCACAAAGCACCAATGTTCCCTTCACAGTTAGTGGTTATAGGCTCTCTTCAAGCTTCTTTGTCACATCCAGATGGAATAAGAAACTTTTTGTCAGCTTCAGTGGTTGGTCTTCTGTTACATTTTTCCACAGCTTCACTTCTAAGTTGCGGTGGAGTCAGATTTTTCCAGGAAATGGGTGTGGCTGATAACACAGAGGATGGCACACACAAAGACAGACCGATATAACAAGAGGTCATCAGGATACTGCTCCCCTCCTGTTACCGCTATCACTGTAAACATTGTCACACTTATAGTTAGACTTGTATTGTTTCAGTTGTTGCCACAGAGGAAAGGATGTATTCCGTTCAATCAACAACCTTTCAAAGTCTTCCCACATCCCTCGATCGCCCCGTCTCATCTGTGCCAGCCTTGTTTTCTCCGAAAGTTAACGGCATGACAGTGGAATGTTGTGTTAGTCACGCTGTGTGTGTGTGAGGGGAAAATGTCAGATGATTATAGCCGGGAGAGGGAGAGTTGTTTAGGGGGTGCGGAGTTGGGAGCAGATGCTTCGGAAAAATTGTGTGGGGGGGGGGAGAGGGGTTAGGTTGCTGTAGCTGCAGCTGCAGAGAGCTGGAGAATGTCCTAGGTTATATTTTTCTGGTTATAAAGGCATGAGAAGACTAGCGGAGGAAAAGAGGAATGTTATCATGGTGTGAATGAAAATGATTAAAGAGAGAATGAGAAATACATGCTCACATTTGACACTTCCTCTTCCCTGTATGCTATGTTGACCTCTACCTACCATGTATACACCGTAGTGGACAATTTCAACCACGGCATGGCTCATTACAAACTAACAGCTGCTTCAAGGTAAACATGTGACCACTATTTTGGTCTGAGGTGGGGCTTACCTCCATATTGAGAATGTTACGTCACATCTCACAATTTCAATCTTTTTTCTTGAGTGTAGATTTTGACTCACCTAATGCAGTCTGACCAGTTGGTCTCAGTTCCCTTCCACTAGATGGAACCCTTTTCCATTATGTTGACTCTTATTAATAGAGGACCATTTTGAACATATAGTACATGTGACATTGTGTTGTCTTTGTGCAGTGTTCCCTCAGGTCCCCGGATGCTGGAGGAGCAGTATGTGTGTAACAGCCTGTTGCTTCATCTCCTGAGGCATCAGAAGGTTCTCTTTCCAATCCATGCCGAGGACACAGTGGCCTCCTCAATCACCTCCTCCTCCCCCCCTCCTACTCTATCTGCTCTTTCACACTTTGAGGTAACCCGTGTTTTTTTTCTCCTTCCTTTGACAGAAATTGTTACATCACTGATTGCTTTTCTGTGGTCTGTACTTTTTTTGATTACGTCTTTCCAACAAACAGAACTATTTTATCTGTTATCTTCTTACTGGTGCACTATGTAGAGGGTATCAGCAAGTCGTGAAAAGTATATTCGGTCTTTTCTTGTCGTAACAGTACCATTATGTATAAATATCTTTTGCGTGCGGTTGCGGGGTATATCGGGGAGATTACACACCTGTAAACTAGAAGTGGGATTGCTGCATCAGTGGACTGTGCAGTAGCTGTTCAATCCTCTTTTGTGGAGTCTGAGTCATCACCATCAGACCTGTAGCAAACCCTGCTGCTACTGCTAGCCACATTAGCTTTGGATAAAGCTTTTCCACTTATCTGGTTCCTGGCCGTGTTAAATGATTAATTACATTACTTGGTATTATTGATATGTTCAACATAAAATTGCATTCTCTGTGGTATTAAAAAGTCTACAGTCAAGTCTACAGTAAATGCATAACGATAAAGCAAAAAAAAGCTTTGAGGTTTTGTTATGGTGTGTGTGTGCGTGTGTGTGTGTGTGTGTGTGTGTGTGTGTGTGTGTGTATTTACTCTTTTTGTCCTCGGTAGGTCCGATCCAGCAGATGTCACTCTGAGCAGAGTAGTGTGGAGAGTTTGGAGGGAGAGATCTCTTCCATCTCAGCGACCAGTGCTTTTAATCAAACAATACAGATGCAGTGTCAACTCAACAGGTACTATCGTTACCTTAGCATCTGTAACCTTGTCATTGCACTCGACAGACAGACATCACTGAATAGTCATGTGGAATGAATATACACAAGCCCCTCCCTTCTAAATCTTGTCCCGGGGGATTATTTGGACCTGCATTTCACTCTGTATTCAGCTGTTGCATGTTCAGCTGATTTCTGATTGCAAATATAAAAAATAGCTCCACAGTGTTGCTGCTTGAAGGAACAGAGAAATGGGACAATGGCGAATTGGTCCCCCAGACAGAATCTACATACTAGCTGCCATCTGCTTGTTGGGAACTTTTCCCACTCGCAACTCTGAGGCTGCTGTGCTCTTTCCTATTTTTAAATTGTTGCCACAAGGTTGCAGCCGTCAAAGTTCATTTATTTATTGTCTACTATTGTCCACCCCTAGTCAGCATGCAACATGGCATTCACGTGCATTTGCTAATTCATTTCGTGGCTGTCGTCCACGTGACAGTATGTCAGTATAGTTGTGTGTCTGGTATCTTAATTTGTGTTTGTGTGTGGACGGGAGATCTGCTTGAAGTTAATGGAGGTAAAGACTTGTTCCTCTTGTTTACTTTATGATGATGCAGATCTGTCCTCGGTGGAATTCAGGTCAATGAGGATGTTATTCCAAAATATGCATGACGTATTACTCATAAATCCTTGTGAACTACTGGCAAAATTTGATATGAAGATCATAGAAATATCTAAAGGTCGGAGCCGTCAGACTGGCCAGACTGTAATTTAACTACTCTGTACGCTACGTGTCTGTTTAAAGAGGAGTCATCAGGTGGCATGACATGTGCAGAATGTGTGTGTGTGTGTGTGTGTGTGTGTGTCTGTGTGTCTTTTACAGCTTAGATGGGGTGAAAGGGTTGGTGGCCGTCTCAAGTCTTTGCATTGCAGCACACCGACAGACACAACCTTGTATTTGTTTCCACAGCTTTAGCAGGCATAAGAAGCTGCATCATCAGCTGTCTGTCCTTTAGATCTGATGTATTGTCTGAATTCCTCTTTCGTTGTTAGTCTGAGTTTCCTCACCTGTATGTGGGTTTGAACATGTATTTTGCTCTTGTGTTTATTTACTTGTTCTTCATGACAAGTGCAGCAGCACAGGATTCAGACAAAGTTACCATATTTCTCATGGTTCCTTTGTTAAAAAAGGCTTCTCTCAGGTTAAAGTTGCCATTTAAACAAATACAAAATTGGCCCTTTTTCGGTTGTTTTCATTGAGACATGTCAGACTGGGATTTGGATGTTCTTTCTCCAAAAATGCACTTACATGCTGTTCAGTCTGGTTATGTCAGGACCTCTAAGCTTCCCACTAACGTCACAGTCCATATTGATTCTAGTCTAATTATACCTACAAAGGGTTGGATTTCAAAACAAGTGTCTGTTTAATTCTAAGAAAAAGGACAGAGAGTTTTCACTAAGTCATTACTTAAGTAATATCTTACAACGTCTCTAATTTATCCCTAAAATTATCAGTTTTCAGCTCGTTTGGATATGTAGGTCAAGAAATATATGTTATATATAAATGGGGTTTGTTGGTCGATACTCATGAATAATCTTCCCTATGTTGTCAGGTTTTATACATCAGTATTACTCATCAATAATTCTGATTCAACATATCTGTCACCGTTTAAGCTGGCGTGTTTGAGTGTGAATGTATGCGTCTGTGTTGCATTTATTTGTCTATTTGTGTCTCGGGCCTACTTCAACCTCTATTCTAGTGCTAGAACTGGCATTGTTGATCCCAGATATGTGCTGCCCTATGGGAGATTATATCTGGGTCTGCGAGCTTGTGTGTGTGTGTGTGTGTGTGTGTGTGTGTGTGTGTGTGTGTGTGTGTGTGTGCGTGTGCGTGCACCAGTAATTGAAGCGGGTGGGTGAACTCTCTGCCTCCGGGTGTCACTTGTGTTTTTGACCATCAAGCACTCCTCATCTGTGCTCTCTTTTCTTTCTGTCTTTGTTTTTTTCCGTCCCTCTAAAGTAGCAACCTGCTCGCTGTCGTATGTGAATCCGTATTCTAGCTGCTTTGAGTGTAGATGTTTTTGGCAAAGGATGTTTTCTTGTCTCATCTGCTTCAGTGGCAACAACCACGGGTCTACGGTCCTCCTCACGTGAGTGAGATAATGCAACGTGGTCTTTGGACGAAATGTAGTTGCTTTAGAGCGCTCGATAATGCTAAACTATAGTTATGGACACACAAAGAATTCTGTGGTTTGAGAAGCAGTGGCTAATGTGTGCGTCTTGTTAGTTTCTTGCTGCTGCTGTACTGACCCGTCTGCTGTAGGTTACAGCTCGCTTTAAGCAAGTACGTGTGTCGTGTGGTCGAGGCATATCAGTTGTGCTGTTGTCGCCGGGAGCAGCTCCATAGAGCTCCATGAGTCATGTCATAGTGTAGCATTAGATCAAGCACTCCTGATTGATGTTACCTGGTGTGGAGGCCAGCAGTTTTCTCTGGGAATCACAGTTGGACATTCCAGACGTTACTTGATATGCAGATGGTTGCACATGTGTTGTTAGATTTGACATATATTGTGTTCCTGCTAACGTAACATGGATCTATCTTAGTTTTATTCGAGTGCCTCTACTGATTTGGTTGTTTTTTCTTTAGAGTGCTTTTTTGGTACTCAAAGACACTTACGTAAGATAAAGTGATCACACAAGAAGTATACAACACACAATATTAATCACGCATAACAATCAGTAGAAGTAGATTTGAACATGGTGAGGTTGTTGCAGTCCATCTATGAGTGTCTTTGTGTCTTTAAAAGTTTCTTAGATGTCCTCTGTTCTTATTTAAGCCTTATATCTGATCTATAAAGCATTGGTCATTGAATTATTATCCATTACCATATTGTATACATTACACGTAATAAAAGATGCCTCATTAGAAAGTGCTCTTTCCTCCTGTATGTGCACTCCTCTGTCTATCTCACTCTCTCTCTTTCCGTGTCTCTCCATAGTCCTGACGCACTGAGGCAGGGTTGTGACTCCAGCCCTGACGTCAGCGCTGACATTCAGACGCTGATTCCAGACCAGGAGGCTCTGGAGGAGAGAAGGGACAGTACAGAGGCAGGTTGTGTGCTCTCCTGCTCCACTGACCCAGGGTCAGAGCAGCACTCACTCCAGAGCATACCATCCCAAAGCCTCAAGGGGGAGCCAGCGGAGTTGCAGTGTACCACACATGGGTGAGCGCTGTCTCTCCTTTTTTCACACACAGGTGATGTTTTCAGCTGAAATCATTTGACGAGGTGACAGCTGTTCACATAAAACATGTGCCCCCTTCAAGACTCAACCATCCCATACATTTTCATTAAAACAACAATTAGGAATTGTACAGCTCCTCTGCATTTTAATGAGTGTTTATTCATCAACAGGATATTTTCGCAGTACAAGATGCCACCATTCACCTCCAAGTCAATGGAGCCAGAGGAAGAGGAGGAGGAAGAGTTAGAGGACAGGACACCTTCCTCACCCGTTAAAGACGACTGTTCAACGGTGTGCATTGTTGGTTTTCTCTTCTTTGCTTCTTTTCTTTCTTCTCTTTCCCTCTCTTTCCCGGGCTCATTAAACTATCTCCAGCTTTCAGCACTAACACCTCCCGCTGTGAATATCATTGAGCGACTAAACTGTTTCTATGATCTTACACGTTTATATTTAGACCAGATCTCTAAAGATGTGGTGAATTAAATAAGAAACAGTACAGACGTACAGTCACCTGCTGCTCATGCTGCAAAATATATTCTGTGGTGTACGTAGTGTTGAATAGAGAAACAAAGCACAATAACGCTTTAAATGTTTAAAGTGGAACATCTTTCAGCTCAACATGTGAGTGGAACTGAATTGTTTTTCAGGCTTCCACAGATGCGGGACAGAAATCCTCAATTTCAGACTGCTGCATAGCGAATGAATCGCAGAACAACAACCAAACACGGACTCGGCACGCGGAGAGGTGAGAGGAACGTTTCTGCACAAAGACATATTTGAACCACCAACAAAAGTGTCTGTGTTCGTAGTTCTGGAGCGGTTCAAATGTATCAGAATTCATTTGATCTAATTCCTTTGGATGCTGGTTCATCTCAGCTCATCTCTCAGCCCAGTCAGATGAGAAGTAGGTTATCAGAGCACTGCTCTGCTCACAGTCATGGTTTTGATAAGATTCCGGTCCAACTAACACTGACTTGCCACAGGGGCTCACGTGGAGCCGACCGACTAGCTGGATTAGGTCGACACTAGCATGGCGGCACGCTGAGCTTTTGTTTGCGCTGCCTCAGGACAGGACAATTATGCCTCATTAGTGTCAGACATGAATAAGCCATAACCTTAATGACTGTATGGCCTCAAAGCTTCAGAAAGCGCTGGGCGGTGTGATACAGTATTGATTATGAATACAGACGGAGCCCCATGGTTGTTAAAGTCACATGGATTGTGGACCACGGGGAGAAACGGTGTTCTTATTTTAATGCAGTTGTATCGTATTTGCCTGTTGTTGACGGTCTTTGTTTTTCAGCAAGCTGTGCTGCACAGAGTACACGACGGAAGCCAAAGAGAAGGTAAACAGAACTTTGTTGAGCGTTGGCTGCCATCTTCAAATCATTTCTACTGACCCCCGTTTTTAAAATCCATTCATCCTCTGAAAGCCAGGTCTGAGAGTTTATAGCCATCGGCTTGTAAGCTAGCAAAATGTAATGCACTAATGCACAAGAAAAGCACTCTGAAAGAGCCTTGAAGGCCAGCCAGTTCACCCAAGGTTGTAGAGTAAAAGAAAAGTTTCAAATTGATATGAATACTTGGTTAGATTTACAGCACAGACAGAGGAAAAGGGGCTGATGTTAAAGTGTTGACGCCACGACCGACTACAACAGGTTTACCAGACTAACCCATAATATAGCAAGATTTATGATGAAAAGATAACTGGACCTGCTGAAAAAGTTGATGAAAGGATGTGTCTCTGCATGTGTCATTGTAACCTCCATATTTGCGTGTACATGGGGGCGTCAGTCAGTAAGAGGGCTTTGGGAATGTGACTTCATCGGTGCGTATGCGGTCTGTTTCTACAGGGGAGAGGAGGAGACGGAGGAGGATGTAGTGGTTCTCCTGACAGACATCGTGATTGCAGAGGCAGGAACAACAGCCATGACGTACGTTCTCCTTCCCCGCAGTCTTTATAGATAGATAGACACAAATTAACACTTTGTTTAGGTTGAGGGTATCTGTGACAACAAGACAGTTGATACCTCCAGTGATTTGTGTGCGTGTGTGTGTGTGAGCTTTTTTGCCTGTGGGTTTTTTCTTCCCCTCCCTTCCATCCTTCCACCTCTGCGTGACGCACAAAGCAGTGTTTTTTAATTTTTTTTATGAATGAAGCGCCGGGGAGGATGGGAAAGGAGAAGCAGAGCCCTTATCTGCTGCTGCTGCTGATGATGCTGATGATGCTGATGATGATGCTGACAATGATGTCAGAGCACATAAATCAACAAAACAAAAGCCCCAAAAACAAAATCTGCATTATATTCCGACGTTTGAGAACATTTTTTGGTGCGGTTGTTTTCTCACCGTGCATCAGAATTCATTGCATCTACATCCAATATCACACACACACACACACACACACACACACACACACACACACACACACACACACACTCATACAGAGGATACGTGACTCCCTGCAGCTCCGTCAAAATGACTCCTTGGCTCAGTCTGACAATGTTGCCATGGAAACGCCTCGTCATATACAGCGCCTCTCTCCTCCCTCGCGCGGCACACACCCACACCACACGCACCCACATGAGAGGTATTCCCCCCCTCCCTTCTCCCGTTGCATTTTGAATAATCCATGTGGAGGCTGTTCAGCAACAGAAGTGCCGGGAACGCCGGTCAGAAGGAGAGCCATGTGGATTTAGGGGATCTCTTTGGGGGGGGGGCAGCACCTCACGTGTGCTGCTTGCAATGACGATTTCTGCCTGCGTTTGTTACCGACTGTGAGCCTTGGATGATCAAGGATTTGCTTTTTTTTGAGAAGTTTGTTTCTTGTACTTCAGCCACCCGCCAAAGCAGCCTGCTCACAGAGCTGTATTCACTGTCCTCTGACTCATTTCTCTCTCAGGAGGACGAGGCATCCACTCATCTCACCTCATCCTGCTGCAACTCTCTCTGCCGAACCACGCTTCACAGCAGAGTATATATTTACATCGGAGAGAGTAAAATGGTTTTTACAGGGTTTCTCTGAGCAGCATGTGACACGTTGAAGAATCCCTTCCACACAAACTACGACGCCGCTCTGACTTCTCCTGTCGCTGCCCGTCTGCATCCCTGAAGCCATGTTCTGCTTCTGTTTCCAGAGCCCCTCCTTCAAGCTACAAGCCCTGGATGCTGACTTGGGATCCCCGCCCTCACCGGTAGACCCCCAAGTTCAGGATAACCTACCTGCCCAGCAACAGCCTCTTTTTACGGAAGTAAAGAATCCGAATTTGACCCACAAGCTGCCTCTCCACTCGCCGTCGTCACCACCAGCTCGGGATCCGGTCGACTCGCCACAGTCTGGTAAGACAATGAAGTGATGATAGCCCTATTTCTCAAGTTTAATATCTGTTTGGGGTTGTAAAAGCCCATTGCCAATTGACTTAATTGATCTACTTTTGTCATAAATGTATATAGGCAAATTATGCCCAGAGCATGTCACAGTGCCGTTATTGTCAGCTTGGAGGGTCTCATTGGGAATCAAACCCATAACCCTGTCAGTGCAAGAACCGCACTTCATACTCTATCTATTAATAGAATCTAATTCTAACTGCTGTGATTCCGTCGGTGCACGTTAAATAAAGGCCAATAGGTCTTGACAGCGAGCTGTGAGCTTCATCCTTTCCCACAGCTGGGTGTGTCGGTAACGGCGCACCAAGCTACGATGCTGTTACTGTTGCAGCACTGCACAGCCACCGATGACTTTTTGAATAATATGTAATATTTATCATAGTGTAGTTTTTATTTACACTTTTGTTTTTCCATGTCTTTGTTGTGGCTAAACATTGATAGAAAGGGTTTTTTTGGATGTCTTTGTAGCTTGAATAGGAAAGAGCTATTTCTCATTCTTTCATTGTCCTTTTTGTCTCGCCTCCCTCTCTTTCACTTCCCCTCTACCCTCTTTCTCCCTCTCTCACATCTCTTGTTTTGTCTATTTATGGGTATTTTCATGATTTAAGTTGATATTTTGTCCTGTCTATTACAGTACACATGGCATTCCCTCGTTCATCAGAGTCCAGTCCTGTCCAGTCCACTGCAATTTCTTCTGAGGGGATTTCAGTAAACGACACCCTGCTGAGCCCACCAGGCCCTAAAACCAGCCCGCTCCTCTCTCGTTTCACGATGAGCGACTGCCCCATTCCTTCTCCTCGCTGCCCCAACCTCAGTCACAGCCTGCGCTACAACCTAGACCCCGACGCAGCCCCTTCTCCACCCAGCTCACAGCACATACGCATGTAAGACGATTGTTTTCTCAGATGAGATCCCAGGTGATAGTTAAATGCACGTTACCAGTCCTCCTTGCATCACGGAACTGTTTGTGTTTCTGTCTTCAGGGCTCGCAGCAGTGGCCATACAGAGTCAGACGTGTCCATCTTAGTGCTCAAGAGACACATTCACAACCTGAAGAAGAGGATCAGGCATTTTGAGGAGCGTTTTGAACAGGAGAAGCACTATAAGGTGAGAAATCAAAGATGCTCGGTCAGCTGGATTCTCCTGTGTCATGATTTGATTGGAAGTTATTGCCTCAGAGTGTGAAGTTCAGTGTTGCCTTTTTCCAAAGCCAATAACCAGCTCTCACAGAGTCATAGGAGGGATTTATTTTGTCCTGATTCTGTGTGTGTGTGTGGCTGGGTGTGAAAAAGTGATGATAAAGTTGTAAAATGAAGCTGTGGATGCTATTATCATACTAGTGTGATCTACTCCCTCTGCTGGTACATTAGAAAATGACAGTTTGTCAAACCACGCATCCTTGTTCAACTGGTTGAGAGGGCTGCTACACAACAGAATTATGTTAAAATTAGATCTCAGACCACATACAGAGTAAAGTTACAGGTACTTAATGCAAGAGACCAAGTTCTATCAGTGATGTGAGTTTGTTGTTTTTGTCAGCCGGCACATAACGACAAGACGGCACATCCAGAGGTGGCTAGACTGATGAAGGAGCTCATCAAGAGTCGCAAGCAGCTTAAAGGTCAGTTTAAAAACCACGAATACACACACACACACACACACATGATTAATGATTGCAATGGTGGAAGATGTATTTAGATTGCTTGAGAAAAAGTATAAATACAACAATGTAAAAATAGTATAATCAGCTGAATGTACTTATAGTGTCAAAAGGAAAAGTGCTCATTCTGAAGAAAAATTGCTCCTGTGACTTATGGAATGTCAGGAAAACAATGTCATAGTATGTCATAAGGTATGTCACGAAAAAGTAATTGTATAGTGCGTCATAAAAATGTCACAGTATAGATGTCATAAAGTAAGTGGTGGAAATGTCAAAGTAGCCATAAAAAAAAAAAAAAAGAGTAATATATCATAATACCAAAAATGTCGTAGTATAGTATGCCATAAAATATATCAAAAAGTATTTTAAAATGTCAGTTATCATAAAAAAGTCACAAAAAGTCATAGTATAATACGTCATAAATCATGTCATAATAATTTCATAGTATAGTAAAATGTCTTACATTTTTCTGAACTTTTTCAGAGCTGAAGCTGAAACAATCACAAGAGGGTCTGAGAGGACAGGGAGACCTAAACCAATCAGCTGAAACATGCAGTACCAGCAGAGACCAGAGGGAAGCAGCACTTACAGACACTGAGCTGCCGCAACTTAACAGCAACACCAAGCCACCGGCGGAGGAAACCGTCAACACGATAAGCAACAGACTGAAGGAAAGACGACGAGAGCTGAGCCTACCGGACAGTGTGGAGGTTGGTTTAGGCAGAAATGCTTTCACTACACACACAAATATTGTAATATAGATTTGCAAAACAGTAAAGACTAAAACATCACCATAATATGTAATTTGTGCATGTATATGTAGGAAATGTCCCATTTCCAGGTGTCAATGGAGAAGGCCAGTCTGCAGAAGTGTTTGCTCTACTTTGAGAGTCTGCACGGACGACCGGTAAGACCCCCTCCTATATGTGTATCTGTTGTTTTACTTTAATACTTTAGCTCTCATCTCCTTGTCCCAACATGGTTGGTTCCTCTTTATCTCAACAATAACAAAGTGGTTTCTGTCTTCAGAGTACCAGGCAGGAGCGGACTCTGATGAAACCTTTCTACGATCGGTACCGTCTCGTCAAGCAGCTGCTGCTTTCCTCTGCTGCTACAGCCGTCATTACCACCATTGTAAGTGAATATCTGATAATAAAATTCATAGAGAAGAATGATGGAATCTGTAGAACTACACAAACCCTCCGGATTTTGTTTGGACAAACTGACAATGGCAAACGAAGTGCGTCACTCTGTTGCTCTCTAGTGGCCAGATATGAGAGCTACATTATGACAAGCATTGCCACCCTGTGTGTGTGTTCGTGTCTACATAGGAGGAAGAGGAGGGCTCTGATGAAGAGCGTCCTAAACAGCAAAGCCCCAGGCTGCTGAAATCTTCCAGGTGTGAGTCTTCAGATGAGCTCCTGCGCCTGCCTTCTCTAGAAATGTCTGAAACACCTCTCGTGTCCCCGCTGGAGGAGGTGAAGGATCTGCAGCCACAGATCATCACAATGGCAACACTACATGAAGCTTCCAGGTAGAGTGTGTGTGTGTGGCATCATGAGCTCTATGGTGGGATTTTCAATTTATGTTACTACTCAGTTTTTTGGATCATTCATAATTGCAGGAAGTTTTTTTAATTTAAAGCTTTTTGTTGAGTTGTGGCTAATTTAAATGCACACATTTAAAAGATTTCTTTGATTCTTTCTTTACAGACCTGAGTTACTGGATCACCTCAGGACGGCACGATTAGAGAAGCAGAGGCTTCACCTGGCGCTCCGAGACTTTGAGGACCACTTCTACATGCAGACCGGCAGGTAAAGGTTACACACACACCCCCAAACTACTTCGCTTTTGAATTTTATTTTGTCTTTTAATAAACTTGGAACATTTGGTTTCCAACAATGCCTTGTGAAAAACAAAGAAAAAACATCCACAAAAGAAAGTCCATCGTAATGGTACGACAGTGTCACTTAACGTTAATACAGCACAGAGAGCTCAGGAAAGAGACGGAGAGATAGACGTTTGCTCGGAACTGTACACATCCTTTGTCCTGTACATGTTAGTCCTCCAAAGTAAACGATACATTTAAGTTTTTGATTACAATACACACTGTTCAAAGCTATCCGAGTAAGGCAACATAGGGACTATCCACCAGTAGTGGAAGCTGCTGCAGGTTGTTTGAAACTGAAGTTTTGCATCTCTTTTCTCTATTTATTGTTAACAGGGCTTGTCAGAAGGAGGACCGTGGACCGATGGCAGAGGAGTACTGCCAGTACAAGAACCTCAAAGCAAAGCTCCGCCTCCTCAAGGTCCTGCTCAGTAAACAGGACTCAACCAAGACTAGTTGAGTTAACTCACAGTGGGACTTTAATACTCAACAGGACTCGGATCATTTCCGAAGAATCTGGTTGTTTCATGCCATGCTCTTGATGTGTATGCACTTTACATGAATAATACTGGTGGAAAGTCTTAATGAAATGCTGCGCAACTGCAGTTTTTCTGTCCCAAAAACACATCCGTTGTCATTGATGATGCAAAGTGTATGTTCTGAAGCACTTATTTATGTCAAGGATGCGCTGTAACATATTAGTAATTTACAATTACTAAATGTATGTTTATGGCACTGTTACTTGCCTTTTTTGTCCTTGCCATAACACTAGTTTTGGACAGCTTTGTCCATCGTTAATGTGGGAAAAAAAAAAAAAAAAAAGGTGTAAGCTTAAATGCAATCAATGAGACAATCATGTTGTGTTTGTGCATGTCAGTTTCTTTGTCCTACATTGTGCTATGATATGCATTAAGAACTTCAGCATTTTGCCTGTATGAAGTAATCCCCCTTAAATGCAGTTGTTAATAATGGTCAGAGCTTTTGACATTGTGCACTTCGGTTTATATAGTTTTCTATATGTAGAGAGAGAATATATATATGAATGTATCAATAAAAATAAATATTTTTTCACATTTATTCTGCTAAACAGTTTATGGTTCTACTTTCCTTCTTTCCGGCCAGACTACGATAAAATAAGAGCGATTGTTGCAGAAAAGGTTGCTGTGGTAGAGGTACTAACAGCTTTCATACTCATGCTGCATCATGCTCTTTTTTTAAAGGTTAACAAGTAGTTCACATTCGGTCATCAGACTTGGTGAATACACATCTGAGAGGCTGTTGAATTAGTACTGTTAAGATTCTACAGAGGTCTCACGTCTGGTTTAATACCTTTGGTGTAACGAAAGATGACCGATGATGCTGCAGCCCTAGAAAACTGTAGTACCAGTCCGTGCCACTAGTAGGAGGAGAAAAGGTCTACTGTGGAATGAGAAGAAAACATTTCTGACAGTCAAAGTAATTAGAAACAACAAAATGCTTGTCCACACAAACCGTGGAAACGCAATCAGCATATCAACAACAACAAGGCAAAGGTCATTAACAAAATATAGGACAAGTGTTTAAAGAGAACAGGGAATAGAAGCAGCCCACGTTTGTTAATAAAGTTAAAGGGTTTAAGTCAGAACGCCAGTGTTGACTTGCGGGATGGATGGGTCTGTGTTGGTGGTCCCTTACGTTAGTACATTTTTTATTTTTTTTTTAACATGGAGGGTAACCCTTTTTAGATGAGGAGACGAAGGTGCAGGTGTTGAAGCGTGTACCCTCTTCTTTGGGAATGATGGTCTCTTCAGAGTACAGAGCTGTGTCAGATACATTGGTGTGCATATCTGGAAGCCTACTAAAATCTGCTGCTTCATGCATGTTTCCGTCTTCTTCATCAGTACATGTGGACTTACTGTGTGTGTTTAGAGGTCAGTCACAGCTAGTCTCCTCCCCCTCCTTCCTAAAATATGCCTCTTCTTAGCGTCCCACACTGATGTTGCAGGTCTTGCAGCTGGGGTCCTTCTTGGCATTTACTGTGGACATGCTCATCAGCTGGTGCCCGCTGATCTCAGCCACCGTGCCCACCGCCAGGTCTACGGTCTCCGTGTAGATCACCTCCAGGATGACGTCCTGGGCGTGGTGAAACACCAGACTGCCGTCACCCTCTTCATCCTGCTTGCAGGTAAGGAACCGGTTGTTGGTGATGTCTAGCGCAGGAAGCCGCTGCTTACAGAACTCGTCTCCCGTGGAGCCCTTTGGCGCCAGGACCAGAATGACGTAGTGGTAGGCTGTATACATGCAGTAGAAGTCTCCAAAGTAAAGGTTGGTGTCGGGGTTGAAGAATGTGTCGGCCCGGACCTCAAAGCGGTGGCGGCCGTAAGGGGAGTCCTGCGGAGGCTTGCCTGTGTTGAACTCTGTGTTGCAGCAGAAGTAAATGCCCTCCAGCTTGCCACTGATGGGGGACCCGTGGCTGCCACTGTTGTCTTTCACTGACCGCAGCATCCGGTTCTCCTGCGCCTCCCTGGAGTTTAGAAAAAAAAAAAATCGGTAAGAAATCTGCACATTGTTTTGATATGTAGTGTTTGTGTTCCCCCTCAGAGAGCAGGGGCATCGCTTTATCAAGTTGTATGAGAATAATACTCCGTGTATGACACACGGTGTGAAAGCTGATTGAATGTGTGAGATCAGATGCAGCCAGAGCCGGACACAAAACATTCAAAGCAATGACTGAATCCGTGGCAGCTGCATATTTTTTTCCCCCCACAGAGTAAATCTGAGCTCCAAAGCTCCAATTATGAATTGTACCTACACTGCTATCACTCCAGAGGATGTCATTATACCCTTAATTGTTGCTTTGTTATGGCCATGGAGCAGAGGCCTCACTAAGTGGTAATGTCAGTACCATTGTTCCCCACATGATGGTGCAGTTTAACAGAAGCACTAATTATATTGTAGCAGATGCAACTCAGCAAAAGGGAGAAGTTGATCCGGATGATGTCATGTTGTAAAGCTCCAGCCAGAGTGCTCACAAGCTGAGCTTTAGTACAGAAACAATGCTTTGTCAGGCGTAGACATGGAGAGAGGATGTGAAGAGAAACGACAACACTATTACAGGAGTAGGACTTGGAAGAAAGTTGGAAAAAACACTTTCAGTATATTCTATGTATATATTATTATAACTGAACAATGATTCAGAAAAAAATGGCTACTACAGAGATATTCTTTCTCCCCCAACTGTCACTCTAACATGTCGTTAAAAATGTCAAATAAATGTCATAGTATAGTATGATGTAAAAGATGCCATAGAATAGTATGTCATAGTGTAGTATGCATTAAGATGTAAAATGAATGTCGTACTATATTATGTGATAAAAAAATAGCATAGTATGTTGTAAAAGATGTATGGCGTGTGGTGGAAACAATCCCATACCCGCTTTGCGTGAGTCTTTTACTGCTGAAATAAATAATATCGAAAACTAGATGTTGTCTTTTCAATATTTATGGTCTGCGCAGAGAAGGATCAATCATCACAACAGAATGCGTACAGTCTCCGTGAGGAAGAACCAAGAAAAAAGTGAACGCGCTCTTTATACAGAATGAGTAACGGTGAGGGCCGGTGGCCAATGTTAGACATTTTGGTCTCAGACTGATAGGAACAACAATGAAAAACAAACAACCAGCATCCAAAACAAGCGGCAGGACGGCCTCGGCGCTGGAACACTCTCATACAACAGTTAGTTATCTTTGCCAGCAGGCAGAAGAGAATTCTTCTTCTGCACAACAGAGACACGGTGAAGTTCAACAAAGTTCAGAGCAAAACTACTTCTGCATGAATACGATATACTGAGTAGAAATATATATACTAAGTAAGTAGAAATATATACCACGTAAAAATGTACCATTACAGCCGTAGAATGTATGCGAGAAAAAATATTTCAATAAAAATGTCAGAAAAGTATGCCATGGAAATAGCATAGCATAGTATGCCATAAAGAAAAAATGGTGAAAAATGTACTATAGTGTGTCGAAAAGCTGTCAAAAAAAAAAATGTCATAGTATGTCGAAATAAATGTCAGTGAAAAATATAAAAATGGCATCATGTCATAAAAATGTTTATGTATATTATGAAAAATGTCATAGTATAGTATGTCATAAACAAATCATGAACAATGTCACATGTATGTAAAAAAAATGAAGTCATAGTATGTCGTATAACATGTCATAGTATGGTATACCATAGAAATGTCAAAAACATTATATATGTATATTATGTAGTTAAAAAATATCGGGAAAAATTTCACATTAATGTCAGATAAATGTGATATGTGATAAAATGTCATAAAAATGTCAAAATAATGCCATAACAATATGAACGTATAGAATGTCATGAACAAAGTCATAATATAGTATTCCATAAATAACGTTTTTTTTTAATAGACATTACAACATTTTATATAGTATGTCATTAAAAATGTCATAATATACTATGCTATCATTTTCAGGCTTTTGCCTCTTGTAAAGAAACAAGGCCTAAGAAACAAATGCTGTATTTATTTTACTCTGTTTTGAGGATGTTATTGTAAGAATAAAATGATTCCCTGCACTGTTATTAGGTACAGTTGGCTGCTACAGTAGTTCCTCTTGTGAGGATTAAAGGAATTAGTCAATGCTTTGTGCAGCTGTCCCCTTCAACTGAATCTCGTTGTTATTTCTCTAGATGGAAATACATTAGCTCAAAATAACATGGTCATGTTGTTTGCAGACATACAAATGTAGTCTAGAGTCTGAGGATGGATGGATGCAGTGTGCTGCAGCTTTCTCACTATCAATTATTTACTATTGTGACGGACTCAGAGGCCCACGAGCATAACTATCATCACAGAATTCTTTTACAGCAGGATATTAACAATAAATGCAGCGCAACCTTAGCTTAAAAGTTCATATTAATGTCATACAGCATCACAAGGTTTTAAGGTCACCAGGTGCCAACACTGTGTTCAAGACAACAGTTATTGCTCTGAAATAAAAAAAGTTAGTGAGCAACTGTTTATTTAAAAGTAAAAAAACAAACAGTATTACTTTGACATTTACAACAGAAATAAGATAATTATTACAGCACAAATAAGTCTAAATACTAAGTGTTGTATAAAAGACTGAGTGGAGTAAAGCAATGCAGACACACATCTAATAACAGTCAAAATGAAACTCTAGAAAACATGCAGTACTGGTCAGTAATAGGTGTGGGAGTCCTACCTGGCATGGTCAAAGTACTCTTTGTTCTGGTTCCTGTAGAAGACGGAGAAACGCAGCATCCGGCCGGCTATGACCTCTGCCTTTTGCATCAGCTGGTTTAGATGCACTGTGGAATAATCTGGAAAACAGACAACACATCACAGTGAAGATGACTTTGCTCTCCTCAGGAAGATCACAAACCAGTCTACAAATGTCATTAGTAGAAATGTAACTCTTTAATTATAACGACCAGGAGCCCTAGAACATGAACTGTGCATGTGTCCTCAAAGAACCCGATATCTTCCCTTCTTCATATTTAGCAAAACCTTGTAAAACAGTCTCCTTTTACTCGACACATGTAAGCAGGACTGCCAAAGAGGTGTGGATTTACTCCAAAGAATATAATAAAGTTCGTATTGATCGAGGCTCTTTTTCCCCTCATCCAATTTTCCTACAAGCACTCAAACGCACCGACAAGGACGAATCGGGTAAAATTGCCTTCTCTTTCATGCAACGATAAATAACGTTGACCAATAATGAAAGAAGACTATTAAGAAGATTGTTTATGTCAAGCAGATTTCTTAGAGGTTTTCTAGACTGTTAGCCTATTTGATTTTAAGTCAAGGCTGTTGACATTGAGACAGAATCGACTAAATGCTCGTTCAACAATTAAACTGAGAGGCTTTTACAGGAATGGAAGGTCTTAGCAGCAGCATCTTCATTCTGCTTGAGATGTAGATGATCAACAACATCATTATGCATCCTCCATCAATTCCTCTTCCCCCGATTGTCCTCTCATCTCAACTGGTGCTCTTCATCCCCTTCACAGCTAGCCCCCCCCCCCTTCCCCTCCCCCACTCTAAGCCACTCGCTGGCAATGTTGAACTTGGCCTCTGCATCATATACAGCACAGCTCCCCTCCTTCCTTTAATCCTTCTTCTACCTCCCCCTCCTCCATCCATCTTTCCCTTCGCTCGCTCATGTTGTGCTCTATCCTAATTACCTCTGTAGTGCAGCTCAAATATGGGCAGCAAAAAAATAAATCTAAAGGCAGCACTGATGTCACAAATCCTAAAAATGCATCACGGTACTGTAAGCCGCATTTTACCCACCAGCAGTGCAGAACTCGATAATCTCGCTCCACTCAGAGATGGCGTAGTCCCCGTCGGTCTGTTTTGAGGCCGTCTGGACAGCCACGGTGTACTCTGTGCGGGGGCTCAGGAACCAGTGACCTCGGACCGTCATGGGCAGGGGCACTGCCTTGGCCACCAGCTTGGTAGGAACATCCTGGAGGGAGGGAGAGAGGGATGGAAAAAGGAGGTGAAAGATGATTGGTTGAGGAAGAGATACTCCAGTTACGCATTTCTTTCTGCCACAAGCAGGGATTTGCAGACACCTGCTTGTAAACATAAACATGCAGACATGTTATGTTGGTGTCCAGTAGCTGCCCTTTTGTTTGTTTGTATACATATATACATTATTTACCCCCCCCCCCCCCCCCGCCTCAGTGGGCCTTAGCAGCTCATTGATTGGACCAGGAGCCCCTGCCTAGCAACAGAGTCAGTCCATTCAGCCACCAACACTTTGGTTGCTGCACACCAAAATCAAAATACTGGTATGGGGTCACTAGGTAGGAAGAAGAGAAACACTCTATGCTACACAGCAGCCAGGAAATAACTGCAGGAGGAAAAGTAAGGAGGCTAAAGCAATAAGTCTAAGATTGTCTGACTGTCTACTAAAAAGAGCTGCAGTCGCCCTGCTGCTCTTAAAATGACTCAATATTAGTGCTTGGAGCAACGGCTGTAGTCTTTGAAAAGAAAGGTCATCTTCAAGTACAATATGGTGCACCTGTGTTACGTGTCTCAGCTTCAAATCAATAGTTTTAAGTTTCACAAGTCAAGGATTATACCTCCAGATGCTTGTAGCATCGCAATCACGAATATGATGTTACAGTTATAGCCATGAAGGGACAAATCTCATTCACTGCCAGTCCACTCAATAGACAGAGCAACATACAGTAGAAATAACATAAGTGGAGATTGTATGTCAATAACATGAAATGAACCCCTCAATGACAGCTTTACTTTTAAAAAGAAACCTGGTTTTCTTAAAATTTGCATTACTTATAGATGTAAATTACTTAAACACTTACTTGGATGACACCGTCGAGTATAGCTTAAAAAAAAAAACCTCATTTTTATATATAATGTATATATAAGGTTTTAATACACATACAGTGTACAGTAGGACTTAAAATGTGTCAGATTGTGTCTTATTCTTGACACATTCCTTCTGCATTTATGAAACAGTACATTCTATGCAGTGAGACCACGAGAGGCCTTTTTGTTGAGTCATCTTTAAACGATCTGCGCTGATTCAAGCGCTACCTTGTGTTTGAACTTGTTTGAGTTTTTGTTCTCCTTCTTGTTCAGGTCAATGAAGTAGTGTGTGATGCGCTCCTTGCTGCGCGGCTCCATGTCCCAGCAGATCTTGAAGGAGTCACAGGTGATGTTGCTGATCTTGATGTTCTGAGGAACAGGGAGCTCCTCCAACTCGGAGGATTTACTTCCTGTGTAGTGAAAAAAACAAAATATGTAAAATTGATACAATATCAGTTTTGAATGTTTGCTTGTAATAACTTAAGTGTTTATAAATCATATTTTTATTATCCGAGTAACTGGAGGCTATATTAAATCAGCATCGCACACCTTTTGAATACTGCATTTGGTGCAGCTTCATACAGCCCTCAAATATTTTTTTGTTTCCCTTTGTGCAGAACGGACCGCCAGCATCACCGACTACCATATATGTTGCCATGGAAACACATCAGCCTGCCATGGAAACACATCTGCTTTCCAGAACATACGTGGCATTACATATTTCAAGTGCTGTTGATTAAATCTCAGAAGAGATTTATTATAATCAGCAGTACGATATAAAAAAATAAACCTCAGCTTCCACACGAGCCTGCAGCAATACCATTTACAATGCTGCTGAATGTCAGATCTTCAGCCATTTAATTAAGTTGGATCATTTCTTTTATTTTCTAGCCTATTGCAACGTCAATTTTCATCAAATAAGTTAGTAAATCTTACATTTCTCTGAGCTAGTAACACAACATGAAGCAAATGCCTACAACCCAAAGTGCACAGTGAGGCCAGTGAGAATGTCAAAACAGGGTTGAATGAGAGCTTTGTAGAATTAGGATGAATATAGACTTCGCGACACACTCAGGGACGCCCACTTGGCATGGCAACAATGGGTTTTCTGTGTGTTCTCTGGGGTATAAACATGAGAGTGCGTAAAATACAAGGATTCGGGCGTAACGCACAACACGACCGGACTCCATAGCGAGTAAACAATGGCGGAGTCAGCGGAGCACGGAACATCCATCTCCACTCATCAGCTGAGAGAGGGCGGCATAAAAGAGTTATCCCAGAATTGGGCTCTGTGGACTCTCCTGTCTCGCCTCCACACAACACTCCAACAGCGAGCCATTTGTAGGTTGATTCATTTTAGGAAACCAGAAGGTAATTCCTACACAGAGTGTGTTCAAATCACGACTCGCCTGTCTAAAAATAACACCCACAAGAGAGAAATGTTCTTCAGTACCAGATCAGACAATACCTCACGCATCATCCTTAGTACCCAATCACAACTAACTGATCACCAAAAATATTCACATTTACTCAACACAGTAACTGAAAGAAAGACTTCCAATTGTTACGTGCTTGCACCGTACCATATCTGTATACATCATGCACTTTCAGTGATGAACAGACCAATCTTTTGGATTTTTTTAATATAAATCTTCACACTACAGTAATTCCTTGCGTAAAATGTAAACAGGCCAGTAATTACATCACTACAGTACTATGCGGGCATTCCTACACTTGTACTGCTGCTGGTCCACATTTAAAGCCCATCTCATTAAACTTGAACCCTGCTGCGCAGATACGTTTGGCTCAGACTGAGAGCAGACCTTTGTCAGCTCTAGCAAGTCAAGCACGGACCAGAGAGTGATGTCAGCACTGTAAAGTCCCACCTGAGACTTTCTGCTGCCGACCTTTAACAAAAGAATTAAACAAACACGTTTTGTTGTCATTCTGCGACTTCTGCATCAGGAAAAAGACTAAATATATTGTCAAAAGAAGTGAAATATTGCAATGGATTTATTTAGCAAGTCCTCAAAAATGCCTACATAGAGTTAAAGAAATCCTAAAAAAAATAGAAAAATTACAATTCAAGCATAAACCTTTTTTAAAACAGCAACATACTGGTAAAAACCTAGACAGGAATTAAAATTCCAGTATTTAATGTATATAGTATACAAACATAAGTGAATTGAATAGATCGGCCCCATTGTCACCAACACCCAATCCAGCTATTTGAGTCAGTATCGGCACGATATTCGATATTGGTGCATCCATAGCAAACATAAAAGATGAAAAAGCTGCCGACTCAGTTGTTGCGCTGTGCCTGAAGAACAGTAGCTTTCCTTGTCCTAAAAAGGTTTTATGTGAACAACACTGCTGTTTCCCTCACACAGTGTGGCAGGAGACCCCTGTGCAGGCCTTCGCCCTCCCGGCCTCTTGTGGCTACACAGTGCTGATTTAGCTCCTGTTCTCTCCCAATTAACCTGCAAATGGAGGCATTGCACTGACACGACGGAGCTTTACAAATGCAGTCAGATATTGCTTACATAACACTCTTAAGGCTACGCAGTCAGGCTAAAAGCTTGGGGGGTGGGGGGGGGGGGGGGGGTTTACTGGGCAAAAATCAAAGGAAATGCTCATGAGACAGAAATCTGCAACCACCATTCTTCACTGTCCTGAATGTTTTTTTTAAAAAGGCAAAGAAATAAACATGAATCACTAACAAACGTAATAGAGCCAACATACTAACACAAATGACCAAATTAATATATAGAATCACCTAAAACTTGTTGGATCTAAATATGAATACACTTCTGAACACACGGTGTTCCAGATAGCCTCACACAGTGTACGCTGCTCTCTGAATCCTGAGGGACTCTGGGAGATGAAGGATGGAAGCGGGGAAGCAGGATGAAGGTCAGGCGGTAAGGGAAAGTCAAACCCTTTACAGTCTCACGGGAGGCCTAAACCCTCAGTCTGACTTAAATTTATGGGCTAGTATCATACATCAGCTCTCGCTACTTGCACCAGGGTCGCTACTGTAGCAAATATTCATTTTGTTGAGTCATAACTTCACCATGGAAGGCACTGTATTGTTATGAACTTGTCTTGGTATTTATTGCACTGTATTATACTGCTGTGCAGGAGGTGGAGGGTTGCCTCATCATGACTAAGCTAAACGAGAGACCTTACTTAGGAGCTTAGAGCAGTGATCACATGCTGGGCACATGTACAGGGGGTTCAAGATGACTCAGGATACATGCTTGATTAGAGCCCCAAAACACAGAAATATCTGCCCTGTGGCAAAAATAATTACATTTCAAAAGCTGAAAAGCCTTCTCTGATGAATCTGCCAAGCACTATCAAATGGCCCCTTATTGGATATTGGCCTCTGCGCGCAGTTAAATATCACAGTGCAGAATAGCAAAAGATGCTGAAGAATCAATAGAAATCTTGATAACATGCTTATGCAGAGCCATCCTAATGGCTCTCTGTGGTTGGAGTTGTTGCAGTCACACCTGGCTTGATACTGTGAATCACTTGTTATCACTCTTTACCGGCGAGGGGAAAGTCATTTGATATCTATTCACGCCAGCTGCATAATGTGTACCGTGTCTCAGTGGTGGCTGGTGATAAAAAGGGTCCACTGAGTGAGACTATGGTGCTCCTTGCTCCCAAAACTTTTGCTGATCTTTTCTGACTGCTCTAAAGGGGAACTCACTTCAGACAGTCGAGCCTCCTACTTTTTAAGTTGCAGCGTTGGGTCTGAAATTGAACTGTAGACATGAGCAATGCAACAGACACTAGACATCGATGTTCACAGGCCTTTGGAAATCACGTCTTTGCTCCTCTCATTGCACAGGCTAGACTGAGGCGGAGCATAAATAAGGCTGGCTTACACTAATGGTGGTCCACCATCAACAAGCCCCACAACAGCAAAGAAAAAAATGGTTAAGACACTTTAATAACACGACCTTTAGAGATAAAATGGACTCCCAGGCACAGAATTGACACATCCCTGTTCTTACACATTAATTAAATACAGAAGACCTTCAGGGAGGACCTTTTCCAAACCAGAATGAGTCATTTCTCATTTGCATAGAATTTGAATTCCTTAACAGGCTAATGTAAATACCTTCAACTAAGATGTGTTTTTGGCAGTAAAAAGCTTGAAAGGAATCTTGTATAGAAGGATTTTATATAAGAGCAGGAAGTCGGGCACTGAAAAAAATACAAAAGGAAAATTAGCATGAATGTTTGGAGCGGATTTTGAGGGCCCGACTGCTCGGCAATCAACCTCAAACAGTGTTCAGAACTATGTAGCACAGTAGATTCAGTTGCAAGTGAACATATTATGCAGCCGATAAGTGGCTGCATAATATGTACCTGCAACTCTCGCCAGCACAGTCATAGTACACAACTGCTCACACTGAACATTGGCCAAACTAAAGGCCAACTTACTCAGACAATCCTGCACGTCATGAGGCCAACCTGCTGTCGCATCATGTTGGAAGATATTAGATAAGCTCTACACAAGTTGTCACAGGAGTTACTATTCTACACAAGAATAGAGTCTACAACTCTACTAGCATCTCTGTGAGACTGTACTTGGGACACAGGAGCTTTGAGTTCATTAACAGCTTTTCTTCAACTTGACAGTTACTGGTGATGTTAAGGTACGTTTAGGAGATGGTTTCCCGTCTATCGGTCTATCTATCATGGGCACACACACTTGCAGACTGAGGGTGTCACAGCTAGAGCAGCAGTATTTCAGGCCGTGCAGACACAGTACTTGGTTGCATGAATGGCAGCCATCCATCATGACAAGTTAATTATGTAATTATGTTAGCGGGCACGGCACAAAGGCCCTGCAAGACATGCAGCGTGCACTTCCTAACACACAACACTGTAACACTGCGCATTAACTGTGGATATAAAATCAAAATGGTCGTCAGAGTCCACCTTGCAGAGGTTGGTGGCAAATTTATAACCACTACATCATGGAGGCACTTCTGTGTGTCCCCAGACCGCTGCACACCAGCAGGAGACTCTTAGCAAAACATTCACTACCCCACACTTATTCATGTCACAGCCCCGTCACTAAACTGAGCACTTAAAGGCTGCAGCACCCTTTCTAACAAAGGGGACACACAGACAACTTGTATCCCACCATTTCTTTTGTCCATTCAAAAGCTCAAACAGTCCTCAGTGTGTGCGAGTGTGTGAGAGAGCTCTCTCCTACAGACAGTAGGCCCACTGACGCTGCATGCATTTCCATTTGCTAGGTCAGCATAGGCACACAAGCCTCCCATGCTTACAATTAAATATTAATAGTTTTAGGAGATGAATTTAGAAAGCTATGAGGAACTGAAATGAACACCGTCCTTGGGAAAATGTACATATCGAATAAATAATAAAATAGTCTATTTCCAAGAAGGCTAAAAGTGGGCTATGCAGTCATCTACATGGGGTGTGGCAGGGGAAGTGTAAACTAGACAGTACATCTGGAGGTCACTTTAAGAGAGAAACTGCTACATCAAAATTCAAGGGTTGGTCAAAATAACAGACACTAATGCAATATAAACAACACTACAAAGCATTCTCAACAGAATTCAACATCACAATTCTAGAAACTACTCTGCTGTGTCCTGTATAATGTGCACAGAAGGTGGACATTGTAATAATGTTGCTCCATAAACAGAGTATGTGGGTGTCTCAAGGACACAGGCACACTATTTACACTGTAATCCACTTGATAAATAGGAAAGTGGCTGTTGTGCTGCAAATGCTAGTAAACCTGCAGCATAGGAAGCACAAGGCTGGCACGGGGTCCATTGGAGAAGTCCAGCCCCAGCCTACATATACCATTATTAAAATTACAGCTTTAGAATCAGGCCAACAAAGCACTAAGAGGATATAAGCAGCATCCTGCTGTATTACATTATGAGCAGCAGATCTGGCAGATGAGAAGCTGAGGCGGTGTGGTACAATGACTGCACTGTGTTCAGATGCTGGGGGTCCTTTGGAGGCTCGATGAAGACACACCATTGACTCCCCCAGTGCATTAACTGGCCAATCCAAATACAGATTTAAAACAAATCTGATATAGCTAGGAAAAAAAAAACCCCAATCAAGTTCATTCAGCTGTGAAAAGGTGGGATCTCATTTCATTGCTATGTGTGACTTAATCTACGATCTTAATTAAAAGGCGATCTCTGTAACCATGCATCAGATGGGTAATCAGTTGTGTGTAATTGCACTGATGGGTGTGCAGGGCTGTGCCGCCTGTGTGCACACACACACACACACACACACACACACACACGTGGGTGCAGCCATGTTTGAGCCTCTCATTCTCTCCTGATGATGACTTGCATTTTTTTGCTCCCCACCAGCCTGCTCATTATAAAACTAGTTTATCTCTTGTATACGATATCATTTATATCAACTAATCGTTTGATGGTATTTATCCCAAAAAAACTTTTGAATTTGGAGAAGTCAACCAGACAATCCAGCATGGATGCGGCTGGATGACTTGAATTATACATGTCAGCGGAGGGGGGACTTTTATACATGTTCAGGATGGGCTATATACGAGATAAAAAAACAATCTTTTGTAATGGCAAAATGTAGAGAATGTGATGCACTGTGTGCAGTAAAATTAAATATGGTAACGCCCCGAGATAAAGACAAGAAGCAGCGGTTAAAGGCGGGGTGGATGCCGGTCTCTGTCCATCCCTGTGGTGCTGAAATAAAGACACATCACTTAACATTCCCTTGCCTGTGCATGTTCAGTTTGCATTATATCTTTTTGAGCAGTCCTCTCTCTTATGAATGAACAAAACCTTCTTGCTACTATTAAGACACTCAGTTATTCTACACACGCAGAGGCGCACCATCCCTCCTCCATCCAGGGAACCGGGGGAGCAACCGGCCCCTATAGGCTACTCCTTTCAAACACAATAAGGGTACAGCATGCAGCTAAAACCAAAAGACAAAACACTGTCTGCATTCCAGCGGCTCTGAAATTAACAATATTATTACGCAGAAAAGCAGATAAAGGTCTCCTTACCATCCCGCTCGCATAACTGTAAGGCGTCCAAGCTCAGGTCCTTGATCATCCCCTCGCAGGGACTTAATGGACTAGTGATGTTGTGCGCCAAGCCTGGAACCTCCATCTCTGCAGAAGAGCCTGGGTGATGCTACCGGGGAATTTGCCGTTAAATATCGTCCACGGGACTTGCGCAACAGTAGGCTTCCGTCCACGGTTGTCAAGGAAGGAGAAAAGAAAGCAAGAAACCGGCTTCCAGTCAGTCCCTTGCTCGTTCCGTCGCTCACTACTCTCCTCTCCCGTCTCCTCCTGGGTGGTGCGGCTAGTGGCGCGTCAGCGGAATCGTCACGGGCGCGAAGAGCACGAGCCGCCAGTTCGGTCTTGCAACGTGAGGCATGGCAGCTTCTGCAGAGATACGTTTACATGTGCGAAGCTCCAAGATATCCGTCTGCGCGTTTATCTTATTTCATACACCCCGCGTGCACGCAAGCGCGTCTGTGCCTTCAGAGCCACAAGTGAGCGCGCGTGTGTGTGTGTGTGTGTGTTACTCCGCCACGGGACAGCGGAACATGAATACTTAAGCGGATTAGTGCAGAGACGTTCCGCAAATTTAATGGCTTCATATGCAACCAGATTATCCCGGTGTTTCCCCTCCGGTTTAGGTCTCCATCTAAACCGTCCACGCTCTCCAGTTCTTTCCTATTTCACGTTCAACGTCACCCCAACAATGGTCCCTCACATGTCCTTATTTGGTGAGGTGGCCTCTCTCGCAGGAGAGCGCAGGTGCAAATGGACCAGACAATAATGAGCTTGGGGACTCTGATATATTGCGCGACATAATGAATGCAGCGCTTTACCTCTGCTTTTCCATCTTATAGACGACCCCCCCCCCCCCCCGCATTATAATGACACGTAATACAATGCAAACCCCGTCAGTTCATAGCCAGAAAACCATGCTTCAAGCTTGGCTGCTGGGTGTGTATGCGTTTATAATTATCTCCCCTACTACACCCTCTTTATCAGTGGCTCCCAGGAACAGGACTGCCAAGGCATAAAAAGGTCAAGTGCACGGGCGTATTGTGGCTAAACACACTGGAGGATGCAGCCGTCTCTCCTAACACCATTGAGCCATGCTGAAATAATTTCTGATCACCATGGAGTCATGTGCATTCTTACATTTCCTCCAGCAGCACATCAGTTTCCTCTCCATTCAGGGGAGCATCACTGAGGCAATGTCACTTTCTATTTGTCTCTCTCAGTGCAACACACTGCGCCCTGAGGCGACAGAGTGCTTATCTATTCACCGGACAACCAATTCTGCAGCTGCGCCTATGGGACCCCCTGAGTCATGCTGTCGGAAGCCGCAGTACTGGAGGCTACGCTGCGAATTATAGGAGGGAAGCCACCCTAACTCATCTCTGTTGTGAGGCACACTGACACAGCAGCATCATAATCGTCACTGGAGTTAGTACAGAGGAGGTAGAGGGAGCGTCACACAACAGCAAAGAGCAATGTGACCATTTCTATACTCCAATTTCTCATTTTTAGATAGCCAGTAGTTGGTGAGCAAAAAGGGGGGTTTATAGCAGGCAGGCGAATTAAAATCGTGGTAAGCTCATAATCACTGTGGCAGTCGGATTCAGTAGGAAACATATTGGACACACCACTGAAGTGCCTGCATTTATTCCACACTCATATTTAAGGGCAACGTTGCATCTGGCTCAAATTGCCTGGGAAACAACCCATTATAAGTGAAGGTCAGCATGCAGATCGCTCCCTGCAAACACAGAGCCATCTGTGTCTGAAGAGAAGATGATGGATTCAGTATCAACAGATGAAATGATCTATAATTTGAAACCAGTTATTTGTGTCGGAAAGTTTTATTTATAGATAGATAGATAGATATAACATTACGCTTTTCATGTTTACTGTATGCATGTCTTACCAACTGCCTCCCTGCTGTCTCAGATGGCTTGATTAGCCTACTAATAATTGCACCGATATCCACAGATTAACACAGCATCTGCTTAAACGACTGTTTCCACGATAATTACATAAAGCAGTGAGTATGTTCATCAAAAGGTCTATGGGCAGTCATGACAAACGTAAACAAGAACTAGAGCGCAGCTACTGGTACACCAAAAAAGAAAAAAAAAAAAAGAAAAAAGAAACTCATTGTCATGTACGGCATCATCCGTTTCTCTTAAGTCACCCCGTCTCCCTTCCCTTCCCCATTTCCCGGCTCCGCGTGCTGTGCTTATCTGGCACAGGAGAGGAGGAGGTGGAGGATGAGTCCGACCAATTCTGGATCTTTCCTTCTCATCCTACCATCCATCCGTCTCCCTCGCCGCCCCTCTCTCCACCCACCCGCATCCCCTCCAGCGAGAGTCATCTTGCGTTAGAGTCAGTGTTTCCAGTAGCTCTGCAGGAGGGCGAGGGAGAGCGACACTGTGTACCCTGCAAAAACACACCCAGCCAAGTTCACACCCCACCTCCCCCCCCCTACATTTTTTCCTCTTCACGTCCCCTTATACCATCTTATCTTCTCTGTCAGTTTCCCTAAATTGCTCTGCGGTTACTCTAGATCTCATTTCAGTGAATATTACTGTGCATTTTTTGTATTGGAAGTCCACACTGATTTGCTCACTCCGCTGTGCTTGAAGCTCAGATGCCACATGGACATACAGGGACAGATGGGGAACCAGCAGGGAGAGAGGTGTAGTCCGAGAAAACAGGCCAAATAAGTTTGAAAATTTGTTAATCCAAATATCCCTCTCATATTTACTCCCTGCTTTTGACATCATCCTCTCACACACACCCAGTCTATGGCAACACATCCCTTCTCATCCAAGAGGCCATTTATGAGCCAGTATATGGAGCAAAGGCCACAACATTCTACATTAGGGGAAAACAATACCAAGTCTCCAGGGTATAATGTGTGTCACGGCGCACCACAAACACATTTGTCTGAGGGAAGTCAATGAAGCGTGTCATTGATTTGCAGCGTGAGCGCTGTCTTGAGTTTATAGCTGCAGTTTGACTGATAACGGCCATGTGTTTCTCCAGCTCTCCAAATGGAATCCCAGTTTAACAGAGCTTTTTAAGAAATAAACGGCTTCACCTTCTATTCCTGTTACAGTCAAATCTAATGAAACTCAATGTTACAACAAGCCCACACGTTTAATCAGGAGAGACTAATTAAAAGCTGGGATGTTATTAATAAGTCAATGTAACTGATAGGAGGAAGCACAATATAGGAAAGGCCAAAAGGAATAGTTTCACATTTGGGAAATATACTTATTCACTTTGTCCGTTTGCAAGATAAATATTTAGCTAGCGCAAAGAGCAGGGCTGGCTCTGTCTGAAGGTAACAAAATCCACCTACCAGCAACTCTGAAGCCCACCAACACTCAATATCTTGTTTATTTAACAGGTACAAAATGTTTTATGTGCTGAACTACTTATTTTCTGGGAACAATAACATCCTGAAGTCTCTGCTGGTTGCCTGGTCAAGAAATGTTGGACTCATAACCCCAATAAAACCACATCTTTTTACAGATGTTTACACGTCAGGTTTTGTACAGATTAAATAAATTCAACAGAAGGCTAGCTGTGTTCCTATTTTTCCAGTCTTTTATGCTAAGCTACGTTCACTGGCTTCTGGCTCTCACTTCATAGTTATCATACAGACAATAACGGTTTAATCTAAGAATTAATCTTCACAGCCATCTCTCGGCAACAAAGCAAATTAGCGCATTTCCCCAAAATGTTGAACTATTCCTTTAAGAGATGTCACATGTATGAGAAGTTTTTACCTTTTATACCTCACATGGTCTTGGACACCGGCGGGTCTCATGGATGGACTCGGAGCTGTGACACTCTCTGGGTCTGGCTCTAACGGAAACTAGAGGTGGAGGTTAGTCACATCAGTCAGACACTGACAGCAGCCCAAAGAGGTTAAGCTTTACATTCTGACAGCAACGAGACAATTTATTACCAGAGGTAAAGGTACAATCTGATTGTTAGAGGACGTTTAGCAGAGTGGCGTTTTAGGTGGAAAATAATGGTGGGGCAACAACTACTTTGGACAGATGCAAAACCAGACAATTGCAAATGACGAGTTTGCATGTGTGGTGTGCACATGGCATGACACTGCTGTGATTGTGGTGGTGCACCATTCCTCATTTCCCTTTCGACCACAACCTCTTTTTGCAAAGATTTGTTGACGGAATAGCTGCTGTAAGCATTTCACTACTGTCCAGCTGTGCTGCCCAAGAATGTATTTAACCATCCAAATGCTCCACAATTTCCCCTCACTACCTATCCCACAATACACACTTCCAACATATCATTTTGTTACTGGTAGCTGGACTGACATCTTGCATATGCGGAGTGTCACCTGAAATGTCAGGGATTATTGAAGAGGGAACGCAGGATTAATCCAAAAGCCCACTCTGGGTTAGCAGCATGCATTACAGCCCTCAAGTTTTGTGAGGCAGCTCATGTGAAATTAGAATCCACTCGACAAATGCTCTCTGCCAGGGTTATTAAGAGTGAGGACCCTCCCTATGTCTTGGTTGAGGTCAAATCAGCTGATGTGACAGACACTGGAGCTGCATCACATACCGAGTTTGTTAAGGATCAAGTTGAACTAAGGAAACACTAAAAATGATTACCAACCCCACCTCGCCTTGTAGGCCTCCGCCAACCAATCAATTTGAAGATATTCGCTCAAGGTGTTCCTGAGATATCGCGTTCACGGGAATGGACCATATGAATGGATATGCAGACAACCTGAAAACATTTACTTTAGGCCACAGAAGCATAAAAACATAAATGTCAGTTTTAAGTGTTATTAGTTATTGTTACCTCAGTTACTTCGTGATGAGATGCTGCGTCTTCATCGGTGTCCTGTCGAAGGCCGTCGTTGTTACTTGGATTGTGACTGATGATTCTCTTGTCCTTCACTGGAACTGCTGCTGTCCTCATTGCTGTGTCCCCGGTAGTCTGCTACTTCTTCTTGTTTACTGTTTTTGTGTGTGTAAAAGACAAGAGATGCATCATTAACTTGATTTGTTAAAATTCTGACTTTGAAAAAAAAAAAAAAAAAAAAAAAGCCAAGAACGACCACATTCAGTCATATTATGAAATGTAACCTTAAGCCTCTAATTCATTATTGAAGTTAAAACTGACACTCTGCTGGAGTTTTCTGAGGATTATTGCGGTCACTTAATAGTCACAGAGGACTCAGGTAATTAAGGACTGTGTATTTCCCCCAGGTGCCTCATCAAGTGCCCCCAATTAAATAAAAGTAAAAGCACAAAAAAACATTAGCATTTTGTGTTAATAAATTACACTTAAAACGTAAAATACTGCTGGAGCTGCTGCTGTCCTGATTGATCGGTCAATCAACAATCTAAGTTTATTTGTTTCCCCATTACCTTCCCCAGCTGATGCTTGTTTGACATGTTTACGTTAGATGCGTAGTTTGCGTAACTTTACTGCCTGGATAACTTACGAACATAACGTTAGCATCAACAGCAAATTCACTCCTTGAATGAAACGCATGCATTTCCCTTTCTGTTATCAATTTAATAGCAACGTTACCTTGAAAAATTCGTTGGCGACATGTTAATTGAGACACTCACCTGGAGACGGAGGCGCTAATTGCGCTCCTGCAGCTGCACAGCATCTCACTCCATATGATCACCAGCCGCTTCATCCACATCTCTACTAACTACGTTCAGCTGTTTCAGTCTGGCCTGTAAGCGACAGCCTGCACTTTAAATTATTTGCGATGGGGACTCTAAGTGGACAAGTATTTAATTCTCCCTGAAGCGCAAGGCACACAAAAGTAATGTTACTGCCTGCCTTCATGGTAAATCCTGTTACCTCGTGCACAAAATACATGCTTTTTAAATGTTTGTCGTCGGGAAGGCTGTGAAAAAGGACAAATACGGTTGTTTCGTGACTTTAATTTGAACTAAAACACGCGCTAGTTATGGGACTGCTTCTCGTTTGTTGATCGTTCCGACCACGAGCCAGCGCGGAAAACCGGAAGTAGTGTTTCCCGACATTCCCGCTCGCGAATCTGAGAAATAGGCCTATTATTATTATTATTATATCAGCCACTTAGAATGTATACTAATAACATCAACAACCGAAGATGTTCTATGTCATGCGTTAATCCAGGATTATATTATTTTCTACATTACTCTGGACCACTGAAACCCCATTTTGTTTCTGCCGCCTGAAGGTGGGGCTTTTTCTCTAGTAGAGGTGAAGAGGTTAATCAGTCTGCTGATTGAGTTGGATATGGGAAAAGAAAAAACATAAGCAATTGATATATATTAAGATATGAAAAGTAGGATTCATGATTGAACCACGATTGAGCTTTATTTGGGGCTCGACCAACATTTTCATGACATTAAACCAAAAAAACAACAATAATGGTCTGGTTTATTGTGAAAAACACAATGTACACTACACTAAATGCATTATTACCGCACAATCTCATACTGAAATAATGCTACCGAATGCACTAAGAGCTGCAGATATGCAAATAATAATCTGTCAATGTGAGATTTGTGTTGTTTTGCAGGAAGGAGAAGAAAAAACAGGTAGACACAATGAGCCAGACAGCCACTGTGAGCATATTGTCTGTTGGATAAGAGCCAGCAACCAAGTCACAGCTCCTCTCATTTACACCTTTCCTGCAAAGGCAAGCTGCTCACGGGAACAATATGTGATGCTGTGGACTCTGCTGGTCTTCAAGTGGGGAGGCTGCCAGGATGCAGAATAAATGCATGGTTGGTTAGTCATAGAACAGCCCATAGCTTCTTTTCTCTGCAATTTAGCCGTCTTTCACTCTGTCCGTCTCTCACAATAGAACATGAAATTCAAATTAGCCATGCCCGGCACTGAGAATGATTGCCAGCTGTGCTGTACGCATAATCGCCCCAAAGTGAGGCGTAGAGGCTTTGATATTCACGATTTAAAAGCTTTTCTCTAAAGCCATTATGTTTGAAGCGTGTGGGATTGCTGGTAAAATATAAGTGTATTTATTCCTGTGGAAGCTAGCTCTACTTTAAGTCTCTCAGTAAGGCAAAAAAAGAGATCACAATACAGCTCAGATATTTTTATCATATGAGGAATTGGCAGTAATGAATGTTTTGTCAATATCCTTCCTATACATGACCCCTGAGCACCGCAGGATACCAGTATTTACATCCTTCAGTGTTGTGGTATTAACATGGAGGCGTTTTGTTTTCTTTATGGAAAACGATAACAGAGGATGAGAGAGTGAGTGAGACATAAGCTGCTCATTGGCACCACTTGTTTCTGTTAAGGGCTCATTTGGGTTGGATGAGAGGCTCTCCCTCCCTCTCCATTATTGGAACATGAATTTGCCGCCATAAACGGAGAAGCCTGTAGAAGAAGTTTGGAGCAGTAAATATGAACATGAATAATATGGAAAATTGAATCACCCTCCTTACCTCAGGCAAAATACAGCTTGAAAAGGTTTTCTGAGTGTAAAGTCTCTATTTCAAAAACCAAATTCAGATAACCACATAAAAATGAAAATATAAAATATATATTAGAGGTAATAAGTAAAATGTCTCTTATTTGGGCATACAAAATAAACCACCAGTAGTCTTTAGTGTTATTTAATAATCTCTAAACATGTAATCTGTTGCAGGGTAACCATTGTCCATGTTTTATTGGAGAAGTGAGTCATTTTAAGGGGCAACACTGCCCCCTTGAGGTTTTCATTTACACTGCCTATGTAGAGAATTTAGGAGGAAAAATGCATGAATCAGTGGTCTATTCTTTGCAGTCGATGGTCTCATTCTCCAATTTTGCTGCTCCGCTTATATTAAATAAGAGACATTGTCGGGGCTTAACGTCCAGCCAGGCGACAGTGCAGAGTTTGTGACCTCACTCAAGACGGATGGTTTTCAAATCGGAACTGTTAACCCAACAATTCATCACAGAGGAACTAGATTATATAACCTGGATAATGCCTGAGAAATAATGAAAAAAAAAGAGGAACCCTTTTTGTTCCATTTGAAACTGAATCCAACAATTGTGCAAGAAAAGAAAAAGATCTTATAACATCTTGCATAAAAGTCCACTTCTTGAATGGTCCTAGAGCCTGGTGGACAGGACAGATGGGCAGTAAATTAAGAGCCACAGACTTGAGACTGAGCTTAAAATGAATATGTTCTCGAGCATTACACTATATATTGTCTCCGTCAGAATCTCCATTAGTCGCAGCAGATTCATTCTGTTGGATTAAGCAGATCCTGGCGATGCGGATTAGGCCTCATGTAGGCATGCATGGCACCGTAACCACATGGCATGGGACTGGGTTATTTCTCAACCTGCAGAGTATGTACAGTATGCATACTCTGCAGAACAAAAAAAACATACTGTACATTGTACAGTGTGTTTTTGATTACCGTTAGCTGCAGGGCTTTCAAACAGAACATAAAGTGAATGTAGTATGTGACTAAATATTTATAAGCCTTATTCTGTATGGGTATAACATTTATTTATTTATACATATATACATATATATACATATATATATACATATATATATATATATACATATATATACATATATATATATATATACATATATATACATATATACATATATATATATATACATATATACATATATACATATATATATATATATACACATATATATATATACATATATATATATATATACACACATATATATATATATACACACATATATATATATATACACA